AGCGCGCACGGCCCAGGGGAGGCCCGGACTCTGCTCCCTGGCCTGCGGCTCCGGCCCGCTCTGACGGGGGCGGGAGCGGCCAGTGTGAGCCGAGGGCTGCGTCTTGCTGCCGCCTCAGGCCTGCGCACCCCACTCCCCATCCCTGGGGTCCTCTGCGGCACCATGCAGCCCGTGCGGCCGACCAGCAAACAAGACGGCGCTCGTCGTCAGCGGCCACGCGACGGGACACGGGCAGCCAGTGCGGGCTGACCAGCAAACAAGACGGCGCTCGTCGTCAGCGGCCACGCGAGGGGACACGGGCAGCCAGTGCGGGCTGACCACATGTGCTGGGGCCACCGAGGGTCTGGGCCGCCCTGTGCCAGCAGCCCCAAGGGGAAGGTGCTCACCTGCGGACTCTCCGCGGAGGCCCCCAGGGCGTCTGCAAGCTGAGGGTCTGGGCTGCTCACGGGGCTCTGCCGGTCGTGGAGCCTGGGGTCTGCGCTGTAGCTCTTCTTAAAGCTGCCATCTGAAAGGCCCAGCAGGAGCGTGAGGGCGCCGCTGCCCTCAGACCCAGGAGCTCCAGGAGGGCCAGTCTGGGTGGGCTGCAGAATCTTCCAGAACCCGGGCCACAGAGGGAAGCAGCAGCAGACACCGCAGTGCCAGGACGCTGTCAGACCCCGTGAGAGACTCTCCGAGAGCCAACACGGCCTTCGTGGCCGCTTCTGCCCGAGAAGCCCCCGTGCCACTCACTCTTGCCAGGGCTGCCCATGCTGTCGTAGCCCCCAAAGGTCTCTGCTCTGCGAGGCAGGGCTGCCACACCGCTCCCATCGTCCACCTGGCCATTGGCACTGCCCAGCTGTCTGCAGATCAGGCTCTGGATGTCCTCGACTGCGGGGAGAGGGGCAGTCACCGGAGAGCTGGGCGCGGGTGGGGGGCAGGGTGTGGCCAGGCCCCTGGCTGCCTGGGCAGGACACAGCACACCCTGAAGGTCAGGTGCTGCTCCGGACAAGGCCCCCACAGTCCACAGGAGAGCAAGAGGGGACATGCTGGGGGCAGGGATGCGCTGGGCCCATCGGGGACTTGGGCAGCCATTGACTGTGACAGCAGCCGCAGTCACACAGCAGCTCAGGGCCGGAAGGCGGCACAGGGGCCAGGGCTGGTCACTCAAGCGTCCCGGACGGGTGGACGTGGCTGGTGGAGGTGGTGGGGTCCGTCCAGGCCAAGGCCCAGGGTGTGAAGGGGCCTCGGGCAGGTGACCGTGGGCCCTGGCTCAGTGTGGGGAGGACAGTGCTCGGCTGGTGGGCTGTGCGCGCCCCGTTGGGCTCTGCTCTCTCCGCTCTCAAGGGAAGCCTGGGAGAGCAGTGAGCCTTCCCGAGTGACGGGGTGAGCCCTGGCTGCTGGCTGCTGGCCCCGACCCCCGCCAGGCCCGCGTGGGGCCGCCAGGGAGCGTGCAGGGTCCTGACCACGCTGTGAAGCAGGGATAAGCTGCCCAGGCCCGTGCCCCGTGCCCCTGGGCGCTGAGAAGCCTCTTCCTGTCAGGCGAGGGGTTTCTGGCCCGGAGCCACCTCCTGGGGACGCTGCGGAGCCCAGGAGCCCTCTGACGCAACCCCCGAGGGTCTGACCAGTGGCTCTTGTACTGGAATAAGGGGAACTGTCCCGGTCAGCCTCAGCTCCCGGGCCCAGGGGCCCATGGCCGTCAGGCCCCAGGGGCGGCAGCTGACAGTGAGCAGGTGTCTAAGTCTGCGGGGCGCAGCCTTAGTGCTGGGGCGTCCGGCTCCGGGGGTGGGGGGCGCCGGGGGCTGGGGCCTGCTGCTCCCTGCACGTCTGCCCTGCTGAGGGCGGCCGTGCTCAGGCCCGGGGCGCGCGTACTCACGCTCGCTCACGGCTGACTGGACGATCTCCGTGGACTCCCCATCGCCAAAGAGGAGCTGTGGCTGCGAGGGGTCGCCCAGCCCGCTCGTCTCGGCCATCTCCAGGTAGATCTGCTGCTTCTCGCTGAGGCTCTGCGCGATCTGCTGGTCCCTCGCGTTCAGCCGCTCTGGGAAGCCATGCGGAGGGCGGTCAGCAGCGGGGTGCGGGGCCCGGGCTCGGCCTGCCGACCCCGCACCCGACCGGCAGTGCCCCTCCCTGCTCAGCCCAGCCTCGCCCAAACCATAAAAATGAAGACGAGGGGCCGCAGCCGGCGGGGTTGCGAGCTCGGGACAGGGCGAGCCCCGCGAGACCGACTTCTCTCCAAAATCTCTTCAGGCGCGGAGGTCAGCCGCCTCCCGGGCCTCCAGGTGTTACTGCCATGACTGTGACTGGCTTGGCTAGGTGTCCCCGGGGTGCCTGCTGCTGTTCCTGCACGCGGCTCGTTCAGCCAGATTCTCAAGCTCCAGCCGTGCCAGATGCTCCGGGCACACGGCCCCAGGGGCCCCTCCTCCGCCTCCTTCCCAACCACACTCTCACTGCCGGCCTCTTCTTGCCCTGGCCAGCCCCCGGTGATCACCCCGACGCAGCCGGCCCTGCCGGGCTCCCGATACTGAGGGGATGTCCCTGGCATTTCTGTGTTGGGGTGAGATGCCCTTTACTCAGATGAGGAGGAACAGCATGGCCAAGAATATCTCTTGTTACGCTAGCTCACTACGAATCTTGCTGGGAACAAGTGGTGATGCTGGTCAGTGCTTTGCTGCAGCTCTGCGGTATTGCTAACACCCCAAAAAGGTGCACCTCACCCCACAGTGATAAGTAAAATACATACGACCTCATTTTACGTACTTACTATTTCATTTAAAACAAAGAAACAAAAACACTAAGAGAGAGGCTGACTGAAGCCACAGTTCTAGCAACTGTTCTCGGCAACGCCCTCCCGTAAAGACCTAAGACGGAGGGCGTGACCAACATAAAGGGGTGCAGCCCTTCCACGCCGGGTCTTAGCCCTGTGAGAGAAGGGGTGCTGACGCGTGCTGCGAAGCGGGTGAGCCTGGGCCTCTCATGCTCTGTGACACGCGCACCCAGGACAAGCACTGTGTGGCCCCGCTAGCGGGAGGATCCAGAAGAGGCCTAGAAAGCAGGGCTTGCCGGGCAGGACGGGGAGCTGTTAATAGAGACGGGGTTTCTCCCTGGGGTGACGAGGGGGGGCGGTCTAAAGGCAAAGGTCACAGCCCGGGACACACCGAGAAGCGCTGCCCAGCAGGCTGCAAGGGCCAGCGGACGGTGCGGAAGTCAGGCCTCAGCAGAGCCATTCGAAACCCCAAACAGGCTATGTGCGGTTTTGAGTGGGGCGCAACAAGAAGTGGCACTCGATGGGGGATCCTAATAGTATCTCAATCTAAAAAATCAATTACTTAAAAAATTTAAAAGTATAGGAAAAAAGAAGACACACCATTTTCTGTTTCTGTGGCTCACTGGCTGCTTACGCCAGTATTGGATCTCTTGACACTTCTGTGCTTTTGTCTGCACAGTAAAGCTGTTCACACCCAGAAAGAAAGAAAAAAGGGACAGCCACGGCCTGCGGCCCCCGGGAGGACAGGGCAGCTGGAGGGGCTCCAGGCTGAGCCCCCAGAGGGAAGGCCACCCCATGATGACAGGTCCCCGGACCCCCAGGGTCGCTCGTCCAGAGCAGGAGAGACGCTGGCAGGCCCGA